GATTTTTGTGCTGATTTGCTATTTCTCTTTGTTGTCGGGGTCATAGTCAGGGTAGGTAATGCATGTTCTAGTTGATGGATAATTAGAAAGGTTCCTCCTTGGTTGTTCTGAAAATTCAAAAACTATTTCAAGTTGGGTTTAAATGTGAGGTCGATTTGCGGGTGATAGAAGAGACCGACATTTAGATCTTGATGATAGGGAGAAGCCCTTATCCCGAGGTATTTCGAATGATTCGGTGGTGAAGTACGCTTCGCCGCATTTGGATATGTAGTTCGTAGATGACATTTTCTTCGTATATTCTTTGATGCCGTAAGAGTTGGGAGGTTGCGGCATTCATTGTATAGTCGATTATTAGGTAGGGGCACTAACTTTTGGAAACTTGTACGTACATTTTTGGAAGGCTTCGCGACCACCCTCACGCGGTGGACATGATTCGAGCATTAAAAATAGTCATTTTAACCTCAACAATAGTGCTTTGTACCATTTCAGATGCGATCGATTAGATTAGAATATTGTTAGGACCGGTTAGCACAACGTAGCCGAGGACACCTACAATCGTGCGGTGGTATCTTGCCTAGGATGCAATAATAGTGTAGCAGCCACGTAGATGACTTAAGATTATCCGAACTAAACTTACTCATGTAGTGCGAATTACAAACACGTACATGGAGATGTAGTCTGTTATTTCGGTAAATTATCATATTACTCATTACCCTTACCCTGTATAACATGTAGAAGGTAGCTAAGCTGGAGCGGATTCTCGGTGATGTGGAAAGCTCGGCCGGAAGCTACACGCCTCCGAAAATGATTGTGAAGAAACGAAAGGTTAGTCTTTAATACTTACCTGCGCAGTGGACCCATGTTATTAAGGTTAATTTACTCCACCCCTCACATGTTCCATCTGAAGTTATCATCATTGGAATCCTTCGTGCCAGAGAATGCCAAATGGGGGATGCAGTAGTGAACCCAACGACGTGGTTCATGCGAATTGGATGTATGAACATGAGGAGATTTTCATTCACATCCTATGGTTGCAATTCCATAAAGGAAGCCTCGCCGGAACAAACTTCGCACCACCAATATGGAATCAGATAAGGGCCGAGTTTGTCCGTGAAACTAATCTGTACTCTGTAGCCAACTATAGGACAAGCTTCGACGGATTAAGGATGCGTACAATAAGCTGAAGAAACTTGTTGTCAACACAACGAGATTGGGGTGGGATGCAAGCACTAGTGTGGTAGTGGCGGATGAGGAGCGTAAAACAGATTGGCTTAGAGTAACCTATTTAAGATAAACATTGTATACATTCTTAAATACGATTTCTACTTTTTCCTATGTTCTTGTTTTAACTTAAATTCATATTCAGAAAAACCCTAGGCATGGCTATTTGTTGACCAAACAATTTGCCCATTTGGATTACTTTCACGAGATGTTTGGTACGAAGCCTACAGGGAGCGAGGGAACTGTTTTTTTGGGCTTTCATAGTGTTATGAATGGTCCAGGTGTAGATGTGAGCGAGTCGGAGGGAGGGAGACGTGGGACGACCCGTCCGATGAGTGAATCTGATCTTCATATGGGGTTTCCAGACAATGGTTTTGCAAATGTTGGGTCACCGTCAACAGGAGCAGGATCATCATGTCGTCCCACCAGGCGCCGGGTAACCTTTTCGCAGAGGAGATACGGATGGTCCTTAGCGGGGAGATGAGTACTATCGCGGACAGGGTAGAAGCAAACATGCACTCAATTGTTAATAGGCGGGAGGAAACTGTGGAGCTTGTAAGGGATGCAGTGCGTGCTATCCGTGACGTTCCCATAAGTGCAATTCGTACGGCCTGTATGCATCTCCTTGTACTGGAGGTGCGCATCTCCTTGTACTGGAGGTGCACGAGTTTTTTCTTCGTCAAACGCCAGAGGGTCGCCGCAACTGGATTCTGGAGTTGGTAGACAACGCTTCCCAGTAATCGAAATAAGTAGATATGCATCTATGTGTAGGTCGGTCGAACATTAGTGGTACTTCAATATGGTACGTATTGAGACAAATATTCGTGTGTGGCTGCTGTAGTATTATATATTACGACCTTAATAGTACGTCCGTACACTTTTTCCTAGGATTGCAATGTGTCGGGACGTTTCCATGCATTTAAGTCCATGTAAACCTAGAATGTTGAACTTTTCTATTCTATTTTAGCTTGTTCAATTCCAAGGCCTTGCGTAATTGAATTATATTGTTTGTTACATGAATGGGACCTACTATCATTACTGTAATTTCTCAATCGGCCGTCTTAACATATGCAGGAATATGTCTTCGAGTGGTAGTGCGAGTGACGAAGAGGAATACATTGTCGCACAGGTACTACATCAGCAAGAAGAGGATGACGCACGTGCACGAGATGACTTGGCTATCATTACTTCTTTAGGAAGTGCCGCATTGGCTTTTCTATGTTCAAATACACGCCCAATGCTATGATTCTCAATTGACCGGTGCTGTGTTCACTTACGAGCTGCTTCAAGGTCATCCGGTTAGAATTAAAAACCTACTGCGTGTCTCTGTAAACACATTTTGGGATCTCTGTGAGGCACTAATCGAGCGGGGATTCCTTAAGATACATAGTAGACAACGTGTTAAAGTGAACGAGCAAGTGACGATGTTCCTGTACGCGGTAGCGCACTCGAATCGTTAACGATGCACCGCGAAACATTTTCAATATTCAACGAAGACAGTATGGCAGCATGTTGCCAGAGTTGCAGTTGCAATCCGTAAGTTGGCTCCAGAGTTTATTAAACCCGGAGACATTAAAGTAACACCGCAGAGGATCCAAGGATCCTATGCTTTTTGGCCCGTATTCAAGGTACAAAACATGACTAGTTAGAATAATAAGTTATCTGCCGTATAATGAGTCCATTGACAATTGTCAGTTATTTTGGACCAGGACTGTGTCGGAGCTTTAGATGGAACATTGATACATGCTTCCATCCCGGTTGCTCAACAAGCCCAATATCGGTCAAGAAAAGGCGAGCCTCAACAAGCTTGTCTCGCTGTATGCGACTTCAACATGCGATTTACATACGTGTTGGTTGGGTTTGAAGGAAGTGCTCATGATAGCTGTGTCCTTCGCCATGCTATAAACCACCACGGAGATTACCCATTTCCCTCGGGAGGTGTCCGATCTTTTCTACTTTCTTACGTTTCGTACTACTTTGTATACTATGTGCTTAAGTTCGTAAAAGAGTGCTAAACCATACGATGTTGCAGAGAAGTACTATTTAGGAGATTTCGGGTATATGAACGCTCCTAAAGTCCTGACTCCATTTCGAAGCCACCGACGCCATCTCCAACAATTTCATCAGGTGGGTATGCGACCTCGGGCGAAAGAAGAGTTCTTTAACTATCGGCACGCTCAACTGAGGAACGTCATTGAACGAGCATTTGGCTACCTCAAGCGGTGCTTTTCGATTCTTTGTTCACCCATGCCGAACTACGCATTTGCACGACAAGTTAATTTTGTGGTTCCATGTGCTGTTGTGCATAACTTCATGCCACGACATGATGAAGACGTAGTGGACCACTCTCTCCAAGGCCACGACTCCGACGAGGAGGACGAGTACCCATTTCTGTAAGAACACAACTAGGTCACTCTGAATCCCGACCGGGATGACGTGGACGAACAAGGAGCCTTCCGTATATTTAGATTTTATGTACCACGTTGCATGAATGGTACCATTATCATATTTACTGGCATATGCTCGTCCATTGTTTTTGTACTATGGTAGTGGGTTTCGACTACTATAAGGACGGCCTTATCGGCACATAATTAGCTTATGGTACGTGTTGTTGGGGATGTTGCTGTTTACCGTAAATTGATGTCAGTGTCGTAAGCGGGTACGTGCGTATGATTGATTTTCCTCGCACGGGTCACAACGTTAACTTGCATTGTCACCGGACAAGTCTATGGCCTTCCTACGTAGTTAACATTCTTATATTGTAATCGTGTGTTTCTTTGTAGGGATTTCGGAAATTCGATTGACAGGTGTTTAAATAAATTCCCTCGTGGGACATTGACGAAAAATTCGTTGTCAAAATTAGAGTAGGAATTTGAAATTAATTTTATAAGTAATAAAAAAACACTTCTTACGGCTTTTCGGAGATAAAATTTATTGTAGATTACAAAAATATAAACCAAAATATTTTAAATATATAAATTAAAACTTGTATTTCAAAAAAAAATCAAAAAAAAGAAAAGAAAAAAGAAAAGCAGTTGAAATACATGAACTAGAAATACCCTTAAATCTATTATACATGTATCTTTAAATTTTTTTAAAATAAAAAATAAAAATCTTTACACAAACATCCCATCAAATTTTTCTCATCCAATCAAACTATAATCATTACCCTTCGTATAATCATTAAAATCAAAATCTTACAAATAAACACACTCTAAAAATCAATCCTCAAAAATTTCAAAATCAAAATTAAAATTCAAAACCACACAAGTAAACACAGCCTAAATATCTAACCAACAAGTCGTGCAAAAATGATTCACTATTACAAACATTACAACCCTTGAAGTCTTAATTCTTCCGTGCAATGCCGTCAGTTTGGAGATGAAATTCTTTGTTAGTAAGCTTAAGTTCATTCAACTTGTACATTCACCTATGATTATTCAACTTCAACTTTAATTTATTTTCGTCTCCACAACGTTTGCTCCATCCAAAATTACAAAAAAATTTACCTTCCATCTCTTTTGAAAGCCTAACGACAAGACACGACACGACACAGAATTATTGCTACTACCCCACATTTGCACTGCGGACACTTATATCTAAAAAAATCAAATCACACCTCTGCCTCTTGAACTAGACTTGGTGCTAGATGAAGACATCTACCACCAGGAATTGAAACTTCTAATCAACAAATCCAAAATTGAAAACACCTTCCCAAACATTCAATAGGGCACGCAACAAACAAGTTATACCTTAGAAATGACACCTTTAAAAGGAAAAATTAATTAAAACCTTAGTTACTTGAAGATATTAATTTTAAGATATATACTTGAAGAAACTAGCTAGTATATGGAATAAGCTTGTTTACATAGAACCTAGCTAGCTAAATGGAGTTGAGTTGAAGTAAAGATTTTACTCATCTATGGAGAGCAGCGGGAAAGCTTTGTGAGCCAGAATTGATCGGATGCAACGGCGACATTGTCGTCCTCGTCGTCGTTTCGATGCCACGTCCAAAGAGCATGAGTTGCATTGATGACCCAAAGTTGTCCATGACCAAAGCTTGCCTCTCTGAATGCACTTATGTTTGCCTCCATAAACCTGCTGAACTAAGAGCTCTTTTCATTTATATATAATAATTTTATTGAATTTTGAAAACTCTATATTTTATTTAGAAAATTTATGGATTCTACAAGCTTGGCTCATTTTTCTTATTGATATAAATGAGATTATTTATTAATTTATATAGAATTTTAAAAGATTTTTAAAATCTAAATTCAATACTTAGACTTTAAAAATCTAATAAAATTCTTCGGATACTTATTGAATACATCCCTAACTGTAATTAAATTCTTCGGATACTTATTGAATACACCCCTAACTGTAACTGTGTCCATTGATTTCTCCATCTAATTAATTAATTAATGTAAACATTTTTTTTTTATCCAAATAACATTATATATATATATATATGATATTGTGAAGTAGTGTAAATAATTACTACAAAATTAATCACCTCTTAGCAAGGCCTTCCCGGTTGCCTCCATCTCCCACGGTGATGTGCACCGGACCACATTCATCTGCTTTATCCCTGTACACCCTCACCTAATACACACATTTATATATATAGAGACAAGAGAGAGATTAAAGCAAATATACCACATATATATATATATATATTCTATTAATTTTAATTTACTATTATTTAAAAAAAAAGAAAAATCTACCTACAAAACATGTCCTTTTATCTTTTTTTTTTTAAATTTAATATATGAAGTAAAAAAATTAATTTTCTATTTAAAATATTATATTAAATTCTTATTATCTTAAACTTTTAGCTAATATAACTATTTACAATCATATTAGATTAGAACAGTCCTGTACATGTGAAATGGTCATTTAATAATTCATTTACTTTAATTTTTCGAAAGAAAGAGAAGACGATGGATGACTTACAAAGCGCTCGTAGGCATGGACATGGCCGGCGAAGATGGCATCGACACGAGCACGATAAAGCAAGTCCTCCATGGCTATCTTCATCCCAACGGATTCATACTCTCCTTGATGAGCTTCGTTCGAATTGTACCACGGCGCATGTATCACTGCAATCAACCACGGCGTTTTGCTCCGGTCAACTTTTTCCAAATCATCTTGCAACCACGAGTATTGGCCGGAGCCCGGACGGAATCCGGCATAGGATCCGAGCATGAGGACATGGACGATGCCGGAAACTTGGAAAGAGTAGTAGAGGTTGGAAGAGGAGGCACACTCCTTGTAGGGCATTAGCCATCGGGCATTGTACGAAGTAAAGGCCTCGGGATGGATGAAAGGGATTCTCTCGACCTCGTGGTTGCCTTGCGACACCATCCATGCCCGAGAACTCGCCAACGGCTGCACTAGCTGCCCGAACGTGTCCCACCATGGCTGGTAGAAATCCGCGTACGATAAATCCCCCGCCAGTAACAGGACATCGTAGTCCGACTTTTCTATATGCCGCAATGTCGACCTTGTCCATTCGGTCTGGCCAAGGTCGCCTGTATGGACATCTTCATCGATTAGCTCTATGGTTGTATTCTTTTGTGAATTTTTCGCATATAAATATGAAATTAAACAATTATTTTTTATATTTTATATTATATTAAAAATTTATTTTTAATTTAAAATATCGTATCAATATCTATTTCTATCGCATCAAATTACTATTCAAATTCAAATTATTACTATTCAAAAGTCAAATCCAAAAAAAAAATAATAATAATTCATCTGATTATAATATATATCCAAAAGTCACTCTTGACATTATTTATCTATAGTGATTTTTCTTAAAAAAAAATAATCAAATACTTATTTTTTATTTAAAATATTAGATTAAAAATCAATTTTCTATAAAAAAACATCTTTTCAAATGCTCAATATTTTACTATTTTTTAAAATTTTCAAAACTTCAAGAAAAAAAAACATAAAAACAAAGGAACTTGCAATTAGAAATGAGGTTTTGAAAACAACCTTGAACCATATACTTATTTGTATAATAATCTAGCATATATTGAATTTATTCTTAACTTTCTAACTAAGAGTTCTTATTAAATTCAAAGCTAACTTAGAAAATTCAGCATGCAATATATCCACTTTGTTATAAAACTCCAAAATGATATTTAGTTGAAAATTCGAGATGGTCACAATTTTTTTCATAATTGGAATAAACAGATTGTACAACCAATAAACTATTTAGGATGTCTTTGGTTAACAAATTATTTTTTCTTTCAAACTATTCAACATTTATATCAAATTATATTGTAAATTAAATCAAAATAAAAAGAATCACCCAAAGATTTATAGGTACTTCTAAATAGATCAAGAGTTGCAACTTGGAATTAAGAGCAGATAACATTTGATATTGGTGACATCACAATAATTATTTTATAATATGTACCATAAAAATGTTTACAGAACATATGTTTTCTACTATTATATTTTATTTTTCTCTAAATTACTAGAATATTTGATGCATTTTCTTTCTTTCATATATAAATATAATATTATATCAATCAACCAATTATTTTGATTAATAAAATACCAAAATCAAAACGAAATACTCATAAAAGCAAAAAAAAAAAAAAAAAAAAACTATATTCATTATATTTGTTTATACTTCTATTTATAAATGATTCATGTAAACCGATAGAAATTAAATTGAAATAAAAATATAATTTTAATAAACTTTGATGGTAGGTTTCTATAGGTTTTCAATTCCTCTTCACTATGTATATCATACTTTTACTTTTGCTAAAAGAAAAAAAAAAATGCACATTAAAATATACACCCTCCGTCCACATTGCCATTTCTGTCGATCCCATATCCCATGTCACTTTCATTTTTTGGAAAATAATTATACACTTTAATCTCATTTTAATTTTTTTTTAATTTTAATTAAACTAATTAGTTATCTTAACTTTAATCTATAATTATAAGATAATTATTTTCACTAATACATTCTTAATTATCTACTAATTATATTTATTTTCATTTTACATGTTACATATAAAATATAAAATCAAATACTTATTTAAATCATAATATAATTTTATTTTGAATTCAAGCATGTATATGCTGGTACCTGTGATGGCAAATTTGATGGGATATTGAGAAGGCGGAGTTTTGAATATATACTGTCGAGCTGAAATTGAGCCACAACGGTAGTAGTAGATAGCGTCGGCGTTCAAAGGCCCGACGGTGACGTGGTGGATGTAGCCGGAGCGGTAAAGAATTAGGTAACTATAGCGAGTGGTGGTTCCATTTGCGGATAATAGTGTATTATTATTAGCCGTAGAGTAGAAGACGATGGATGGAGATGGAGCCGAAGTTATCCATGATATTCTCATTCTCATCTCATTGCCATCACTCAAAGACACATGCACCTACAAGAGATTGAACAGTTTGAAAATTTTTGAAAATAATAAAAAATTAAATATTTAATATGATATTTTTAAAAAATTATTGTTAATCGATAAATTGTGCCAATACTTCAAAAAAAATATGTAAGCAAACAGAGCTGTAATACCTTTTGCTCGTCCCGCACAACCACGCTAAAGACTTTCACCATCCATTTTATAATCATTCAAATTAATTTAAGATCATTTGAAAAATATGCACATTGCATCTTTATGCTTTAAAAATTGCACAATTCATCTTTTATACAATCGATATTTTTGAAAACACATAAAGGTAATTACCGATGAAATACATACAAATTGGTTACACATAAATTGTGGGCAACTCCCTCACCAAAATAATTTTTATAAAGTAGTAACATGGAGTATACTTAATACTTCGTCCGTCCTATGTAATTTGAGACTATTACCGTAGATACGAAAATTTAAATAAAATATAATTAGTAAGTAATTAAGAAGTGTATTAATAAAAATAATTATTATATAGTAAAAATAATTATATATTAAGATTAAAATAACTAGTGTGTATAATCATATTTTCAAAAAAAAAAGACAAGTTATATGAGACGGACAAATAGGGACAAATTATATGGAAAAAAATATCGTAATTTACTGTACAAAAAATATTTCATACAAATATAATACCCATTTTTCTTTACACGACTAAAACATTGCCACCAAATTTCAAGTACTAAAATAAGGGTGGTAATTAGAGTTTGTCTTCAATTGATTTTAAATCAACCTCCCCGAGTTGGTGGCTTCCTTTTATGTAAAAAATAAACATTAAATTTAATTTTTTTCAAAAGCATTTCTATTAAATTTTACATTTCAGAATCAAATGTTACTTAACTAAAATATTCAAATATTTAAATCCAATCCAAGATGAGAAAGTGTGTTTCTTTTGCCTCAAACTATCCAATTTTTTACTATTTTTTACTATCTTACTATCGTAAACATCCCATAAAATATTATTTTATTACCAAATTCAAATCAAATTTCTTTTCAAACTAATCAAAAGAAACACAGGTCCTTAATTTACAATACAAACAACAATTAATCCAATCACATTTAGGGGTGGGTCGGTGAAAATTCAGTATAATATATTGTCCAGTACCAATAATTTGATATACCTAATATGTTGATATATCAAATAAAATATAAAATTATATATGAATGTTTTTAATTTTATCTATGTCATATAAATGAACACATAATTGAATGACAGAGTATAAAAAGATAAGAAAAAGTAGAAAAATAGTATTTTTTTACTAAAAAAAATACAAAGAATAAATTTAGAAAGTGAGAATAAATTTGAACGAGAGGGGAGAAGGGAGTTCGTAATTTTTTGCATCCTTAAATTCAAATTAACCGTATTCAAAATACACTTATAAACAACGCGAGTATTGTAGAATTTTCAGAGAGATATATATAGAGAGAGAATGAAAAACTAGAGGAAGAGAGAGAGACTGTTGTGAATATATAGATGATATGCACAGCATGTGAGCGTGGTGATGGTGATGAAGAAATGAAGGTAATAATAAAAGTGGGGACCTGCTGGGGAGAAGTGGGATCGACGCCGGCGAGTTGTTTAGACAGTGACGCCGCAAGGGATCGGCGCGGCGGCGGCCGGCGATAATGACCTCCGGCGGTGGCTATGGCGGATACTACCAGTAAGGATTTCAGGGCCATCATCCATTTTAACATGATGAAGAAAATAACTAAAAGATGCAGTTTTCTCTCCCCCCCCCCTCTCTCTCTCTCTATATATATAGTTATATACATATATACACTCACACATCTCAGCAGTTATATATATATATATATATGTGATAAATGGATAATGGTGGTGATGTAAGATCAGTTATGCATGTGAGTGCAGATCGACAGGTGTCGCTGGTATTCCGGCGGCGGCTCAACTTTGCCAGGATTATATCTATATTCTACTATATCACATGTAATCTAACAAATTCAAGACTTTGCTCACATTCATATTCATTGGCTGTTTATGGTTTTGATTTAAGCTATATGAATGTCATTAACATATAATAAAAAATAATTATATATTAAAATTAAAATATCTTATTAGCATAATTAGAATTAAAAAATGATAAATTATAAAATTAAAATTTTATTAAAATGTGTAATTTTTCTTTTTTCTTTTAAAAAAATAATATAATAAATGGGATGAACAAAAATGAAAAGTATGATATAATATGTTTGAGACATAAGTAATATTTTGATGCCGATGTTTTGTGTCAGAAAATATGTTTTGTGCCATATTTTTTGCGATCTTATTTAAAATTGATTTTGATGAAAAGTAAAAAAAAAAAAAAAAAAAAAAACTTATACTACTTGTAAGTTTTAATGCTATTTAATATGTAAAATATTGTTACTCTTTGTTCTATTTTTTATGCAATTTTGTTTGACACATGAAACTTAAAAATTAATAATATTTTAATATAAAATAAAATAATTAAAAATTAAAGTAGAATGTTACTCCCTCCGTCCCGAAATAAAATTGCCGTTTACTTTTTTAAGTAGATTTTTTAATATTAGTATTATAATGGATTGTAGCGGAAAGGACGAAAATACCCTATTAGTATTGTGTAATATAAAAGTAATGACATTTATGTAATATAATGTAAGTTGAAAGGGTATTTATTATATTAGGTAGGTAGTACAATTACTAAATTAGGAAATTATAACCTTATTTTGGGACAGACGAAAATGAAAAATGACAACCTTCCAATGGGATGGAGGGAGTATAATAAATTTATTAAAGAATTAAAAAAATTTATATAATACATGTGAAAATTAGTAATAAATTAATTATTAATTTTTAAAATAAATAATAAAATTAAAAGTAGATAAAATTATTTACAATACATAGATTATACTTAAATTTAACATCCAACTAAAAAGCAATACTGAGATAGATATCCCAAAGGAAAAGAGTATATCAAATATTTAACATTTTTTTTTTTAGCAAAATTTTAAAATTTAGTGGTTTTAGGGTTTTAAAAGTATTTTATATTCTTCAAAAAATAGAAATCAAATATTTATTTTTATATTATAACAAAATTATTTTTATGTTTAAAAATTCACATTCATATCTATTTATATTAAATTAGAAAAGACTATTTTCATTAAAAAAAATTATTATTCAAAATCCAGACAACAAACATACTACCTCTATCCAAACAGAGCAGTTTTGGAAGCAATCTCATTCCATATTTTTCTTCCTACGCTCGTCATCTTAAGACTTCAATCTCCCTTTTAATTTATACTGAACAATATATATATATATATATATGTGTGTGTACACTCATTTTTTTTAGGTGATAAAGGGTCGGTCATGACTTTGGCACCGCTAAGGGTGAAATAAATATTAGTCCTTAAATAGATAAATAATAAATTCTTTTACTAATTATAAATAATTTAAAAAACAATCTATTCTAGCATTTTTAGATGTAAAAGATCAATTAATATTAATTTTATCTAATCTAACTTTTTTAGTGTAAAAAAAAAAAATTAAAACAAAAATAAAGAATCCATAAATATATATAAACCATATATATTTCACCCATAATAATAATAATAAAAAATTATAGTATTTTTAGATAAAAAATTATTTTAAATAGTATTAGTATTAATTTTGTCAAATATATTTTTAATAAAAAAATTATATTATTATTTAATTTTCAAATTTTAGAATAATTTGAACGTGAGACCCAAAGCTCTATAAATAGTCCCTCAAATCACAAAGCTACAATTATATATATAATAAAAAGGTAAATTGATTTTTAGTCCCCTAATTGCACATCTTTATCATTTTAATTTCGTAACTGAAGTCTGTCGTAAATAAGTCTTATAAGTTGAAATTTTTCACAATTTTAGTATTCTGGCGCCGGGGATGCCTACGCCCCATGTGGCTTGTCGGAGAACATGTGCAAGTCAGGTCAACGACACCTGACGAACACGTAGATTTATTTTTTTTTTTCCATTTGTATTTTTCATTTTTTTTAAAAAAATTTTAATTTTTTAAAGAAAGACAATGAATAAATTAAAATCTTTTAAAAAAATAATAATAAAAAAAATTCACGTATCCGCTAGGTATCGCTGACCTGGCGAGCACGCATCCTCTCGCTGATCCGGCGAATACGTGTCTTCTGGCGAGCCACGTGGGTGCCACGTAAGCATCTCCGGCGTCGAATGACTAAAAGTGTGAAAACTTTTCACTTACAGAACTAGTTTGCGACATGCTCCAATTATGAGATTAAAACGATAAAAAACTCCAATTACAGGACTAAGAAAATCAACTTACCCATACCATAAATATATAATGAATCCTCTATTTACATTGGACTATGGTGGATTCATTATATAATATTCACTAATATTCGCGTTGATAATTAAATATAATATATTGCATGATTATAAGTATATAATGCAATATTAGTGAAAAAAAAAAATGAAATTAAACAATAAGATTAAAAATAAAATAAAATAAAACAAAATCTTAGCTTGGCAATCCCTTGTGTTTGGTTGCAGAGCGTCAAAATGGATTGAACTATTCAAAATGGATTGAGCTATTCAGATTGCTCTACCCCACCTTATATTTTAGGAGGATTGAGATTATATTTTTAAGCTTTTTAAAATGTTGGTTGTGAGTTAGGAGTGAGTTAATTCGTTCTGAGCAGGTTAGCTGGGAACCTAAGTAAATATAATAATTAGTATTTTCATGTCTAACTAAATAAATGTTATATTATTTTTGTCTGTCATATTGAAGAATATCATTTTTTAGTTATAATAAAAGTAATTAAATATTAATATTAAAATATTTTTTATTTTTATATAAATTATACGGACAATTGGGGATAAATCTCTCTATCCATTTATTAATTGGGATTCAGTCCTTATTGATAAAATCTTTGTCTGCACTTCCCCGTTTTCATTTTTCTTTCTTTCTTCTCCTATTTCTTCGATTCTTCTTTTCCTTCCCTTCCAGGCAGTTTTATTCGTGCTGAAAAATTCCTCGTCCGTTGAATCCTCTCCCATCAGGTCGGAATCAACCTCTCCTCTCGCAGTTTCCGGTGTGAAAAAATCTCTCCCCTTCTTCCCACGACTAGTTCGCTGTTCTTTCTCCGATATTGCATGTGGTTAGCTATCCGTCCTCCCTCTGTACACCCGGTTCGACGTCGTGTGAGGTCGCGCGCTTTGGTGGGAGAAGCTTCTCAGACCGTCGTCCGAGGTTGCGCTTCAGTGGGAGAATTTTCGAGGACCGTCGTCCGAGGTCGCGCACTTCAGTAACATTTGGATTAGTAAGAAAATTTTTATTTTTAGGGTTTTGGGGAAAATGTTGATGCTTGTTGAACAAGTTGAAATTTATACATGAAGTATGAGATTTGTGTAGTGGGTAATTTTTTGGTTATTTTGATAATTAATTTTTTGGGTGATTTTGATAGAAAATTTTGTTGGTAGCTAGTTTGTAAATGTTATATTTGTGAATTGGGTAATTTATTGTTATTTGAGAATCAGTACATCACTAGAATTCTAGGTTAACATATGATTTTAGTCTATTATGTGTATGATTGTCGAATCGCTGATATGAGCTAATATAATTCATACATATATTGGTTTGATCGTTAGGTTCCGATGGACATGGAGCAAAGTAGTTTGAAATCATTAATTATATGTTCGTACGAAGGTGAGCATCATGTAATTGGTTTAGAAGAGGGCGCCACGCTGGAGGATCTTTACCGGAATCTATCGAAAAGATGGAATAAGGTGAGTGTTGAGGCGGTAAAAGTCCAATATATTGCACCTATTCAGAAAAGCTACGCGACTTTATTGTGTGATGATAATGTCGCCAATATGTGGAGAATGCATATCTTGTTAAAGGTAATGTTTGTGGATATGATTGCACGGTGTAGGAGCGAGCACCAGAGCGTGCCTCTCTGAAGCACGGTTGGACGCATGTACGTTACTCATCTTTTGTAATTAAGTAGTCTTTATTCAACTTTGTTATATAATGCAATCACAACTGTGCCTTATGAAAGAATGCAGCCTGTAAGCGCTTATATATATTCACGTTCAACACATCTGAAAGCATGTTGTTTATACACAAACTTTTAGTTGGTATGATGCATATACCTTGAATTTTGATATATTGGTAATAAGCTACCTACCTTTTATTTATCGGTTACATAATTCTTTCATGATATTGGCATACAACAATACCCTGGTGTTTTGTTGCGATGTTGTCTGTAGGTAGTAAGTATTCGTCTCCGCGATTTTGTAGTAGTGCGGTAGAACGAACCACTGAAGAGATTGTAAAGATATGTACTGGGGATATAACATCTTGAAGGTATTTAACGATGTTCACTCCTTTTTTACACGCCACTGTCAATATCCTCTAGCAATCTGGTTTAGGTAGGTGTACCATGATCGATGCGTTGAAATTTCCATATCCCGTGGCATTTACTGCATCATGTAACTTGCCGCGGTGAATAGATGCAGTTGTTCTTTTAAATACCTTGGATGACATGATAGGTAACCGTATACACCGTGGACATACTCGGTTGGGTAAGATGGGTACCCATGTTTTTCTATTTACGAAGAAAAGATTTATTACCATATAGAATTAGAATTACTTACATCTGACAAAATTTTCATTCTTATTAGTGTATTTGTAATGCAGGGGTGAGGCCGAATGTTCGGGATTGAACGAAGATGGCGCATGTGGTATCTTTATTCCTGACGAAAGTACTAGTCTAATTGCAATGCAGAGATGCATTGTCGGGGAAGGTCAGACATTTAAGGGACCGCAAGAGTTTAGAAAGTTATTGAAGAATTATTTTATTGCTACTCAGAAACAGTTCAAGTACCAAAAGAATGATTCGAGCAAAATTATTGCGGTGTGCATCGACAAAGGCTGTGGTTGGCGTGTTTATGTATCCTTCCATGCTCGTGATGCGCCATTCAGCATTCGTAAGTGCAATTTACATCACACATGTACTCTGAATCTATTGCAATCAAGAGATCATCCAGCAGCCGATGCGAACTGGATTTCTGAAGTCTACAAAGATAAAATGCGCTCTATGCCAGCGTATAAGGCATCCGACGTCCGGGAGCATATTCAAACAGATTATGGGATTGACGTGAAATATCATAAAGCATGGCGTGGCAAGGAGAATGCGATAAGAGCAATTAATAGTGGAGGTAGAGACAGTTTCTCACAACTTCCGTGGTATTGTCATGCACTTCGGGAGTCAAATCCGAGAAGTATTATAGATTGTGAAGTTGAGCAGGCAACCAAACATTTCCAGCGCCTTTTTGTTTGTTTAGGTGCATGCCGGATGGGTTTTTTGAAGGGTTGCAGGCCCCTACTCTTTCTTGATGGGACGCATATACAAAACAAACACAAAGGGTGTTTGCTAAGTGCAATCGCAGTGGATGGGGAGGATGGGATGTTTACTTTAGCATTTTCTGCTACGTAATTTGATATTAGCTACGGTTGTCATTTTGTTAAAATGCTGGGTATATCTGTTCGTGTGTGTTGTTTTCCATACAATCTCTTGTTTGTTAAATATTTACCTGCAATATTTTTTCGAATACCCTTAGAGCATTCCGATATGCTCTCTTTAGGCACATATGTACCCTTATACACTGGAAACATTTGTAGTTATTTGTATTCTCATTTGTTGACTTACAGCGGTGTCTACGGAAAATGATGAAAATTGGGAGTGGTTTTGTTGGAAGCTTCGAGCTATTTTAGAATGTGAGGGACGTACGGATTGGAAACAGTACACATTCTTCTCGGATCGACACTTGGGTTTACTAAAGTCAATCCCGTGCATCTTTCCCGGAGCACATCATGTGTATTGTCTCCGACACTTAGTGGACAACTTCCGTACCCAGGTATATGTATGTCAATATTAATTTGCAATGAAAATCACTGGTTATAATCAGCCAAAAAATGTCTTTTTTTAGGTTATGCGGAGATACCCAATGCATAATAAGAAACGATGGACCGCTGTCTTCAACAAGGCCGCTTATGCTCCGTTGAGAAGAAGATTTTGAAAACCATATTAGTTCTGTGGTCGAATCGATGCCATTGGCCTGGGACTTCATTACCCAATCAGACCCAAAATGTTGGGCAAATTCACTATTCAGAGGCACTCGTTGGGGAATAATAAATAATAACATTGCTGAGTCATGGAATAGTTGGGTGATATCCGCGATGTTAATGCCATTCGTTGGGATGTTGGATACCATTAGAAGGCAAGTGATGGTAATGATGAATGAACGCCACGAAAAGTCGGAGATAATACACGTGAGGCTCTGTCCAAAATAGGAGAGCAAGTTGGCACTGTCGTACATGGCGTCTCGACGGTTACAGTACAGTTCATCCTTTAGAACTGTATTCGAGGTAACAGATTGTAATGAAAGATACGCAGTCGATTTGGAGATGCAAAAATGCTCATGTCGAGAATGAAAAATGTTCAGACTGCCCTGCAAGCATGCCTGCGCTTGCATTGAAAAATGCAATATGTCAATTTATGATTTTCGCGATCTTTACATAGCATTGAATGCTACAAAAAAACATACCATGAACCAATAAATACTGTACCGACGCATGATATGGACGTGATTGTTAAAATTCAGGCGGACCGAATTCACCCTCCTCCGTCGTCTGTCCAACTAGGCCATCCAAAGAAATGAAGGTTCGAGTCCCAATAGGTAAAGAATCCACGAAAATGTGGTCGTTGTGGGCGTCTTGGATATAATAGAAGAAGTTGCAAGCAACGAGTAGATTAGCAAACCTTTCTTTCATTGTATATCTTTTTGGCTTCTAGGAGTATATATTAGACAGTAGGTATGTATTCAATAGGTATATTGTAATTGCTTTTTGTGTCTCTAGGATGTAACCGGTTGGATTTGCCAACTTATTTACAGTAGTAACTGGTATGTAGCAAAGTAGTCACGCAGGTATATAATGAAGTTGTGGAGGTTCGTAGTTATATTCTGCAAGTATATTTTACATGTACTGAGGCATTTGATGATGTAGCTCTGTAGGGATGGATGGTTAATGTAATATCTAATTGTTTCGAAGGTACATGCTATTCTATTTTTGGGTTATTACTAGGAGTTATAGTTGTTGATTAAATCTCGTCGTTGTTGCTCTGTGCAACCAATTCTTACACATCGTAACCACGTACCCGAATAGGACTGAGCCATGTATAAAATAGTCTGGCTTATATTAAGCTCGTCATACTAACCAACTGCAGATGTCATACAACTTAAGTATTTTTTGATGTCTTTTTTAACCATCAGTAGTAAATACATGCTATTTGAAGTAAAAAAAAAAAAAAAAAAAAAAGATCGTTTCCCCAGCCATAGGTAACCAGGGCATACGTAATCGCAACTGAAGTATAATGTCACGGTTGTTGTAAGTATGCAGTAGCTTACAGAGGGTATATACATTAATGGTTCCAACATATAGGGTTGTGGTCCGAGTATCTCCTGTTGTTTCTACGGTATTTAAATTGTATTACCGTGTAATAACTTGGAGGTGTAGTATTGATTAAAATTCAGCACACAGCTAAGTACCAAACTTCCATGTGCTAACTATATTGTGGTTATATTATCATGTCTATTCCATTGCGTTCTAATTCCATTATCGGGTAAGCGTTGTAAGTTTTATCTGTGGCCTAAAACACGTCATTTAAGATTATGGGGTTGGCGAGAAACACTACCACGGTTAAGCCAATACACTCTTATCGTCATTTGGTGAATATTTCAAGAGAAAAGGCCGAGTTCCCACCCACAGGATACCAGAGCATTTGAAATGGTAATGGAAGTATAAAAGCTATTGTCATAGGTACATATTAGATAATATAGGGTATTTGTATTAATGACTCCGTTACGTATGCATCTGATCCAAGTACCAGACTCGCTGAACGAGGTACACAGATTGCGTATGAGGATATATGTGTTGTAGTTGTAGGTATCCTAGTTGTAGTAGGTATAGTAGCACTTATTTGTTACCACGTGTTGTTTAGCACTCCGCAGGAAATAGTTGATTGTAATTTAGACGTTGACACACACGCAATTACCATACACCATGTCCCGCACAAATATTTTGTTGTTATATTATTGTGTTGTTTTCATAGTGTTTGATTTCAATTAACTGGCAAGCCCTTGCAGTTTCACCACTCGTTTAAAACATGGCGTCCAGTAGGATTTCACGAGAAACGCCGACACGGTTGAACTGATTCAAAGTGAATGTTATTTCAGTGATCAGTGCAAAAGAAAAGGTTGGTCCCACAAACGCAGGTGACTAGAGCATGTAATACATAAATGGAAGTACATACTTGTTTAATGTACGCACATAAAAGCTATCAACGGGTATCACCACACAACGCAGGTATATAACGAAGATGCCAAATCAATCCACATAAAAGACATTTACCAATTCCATCACCTCAATACACAACACAATAACTTCCCAGATCAATCCAAATTGAAGACATTAAACAAATCCATCACCTCACCACACAACGCAAGAACTTCTCAAATCAATCCAAATTCATTACATGTGTTAACCTGCCCTGTTTTTCCATCGGGGTCTACGCCTCAGAGGGGGGACCTTTCAATATCCTTGCTGCAATCATGTCTCGGTAGCTCTTGACATTGCCAAAGTCCTCGTCGAGGACGCCCATGAGATTGACATTTGGACCCGCCCGCGCATCACACTCTGCGAACATGCAGACTAAAGGTCCACAGTCCAGCATTTCACCCTGGTGTTGGCATCTAATGTACTCGGGTGTGTCGCTGACCATAGGCCATAGTTGTGACGCATTCATGTACAACGATAAAAATCGCGTCTGCACAAATAACGTTACTCTTTTGTTAAGGAATTCAGCCTACCCATAGACAATTAATTATAATCATTCCACAGACATACCAATTTCTTTGCATTCCCCTGGCCGAAGGGGTCGCGCATTGAGTTACACTCCAGCACAACGCGTTTGACGGTATCCAATATACAGAGATGCCAGTGGAACCGGGTATGTACTGGTAGAAATATGTACCGGCACCCAGACCGAATTTTCTCCATGATTTCGGCGATCTCTTGGCCTACGGTCACTTGCAGGGAGTTGGCAAACGCGAGTACATTACCCCTATTGATGATCTGTTTTTTCGCTCCCCTGCTTGGTCGTGATAGCACGTCGTTCACGGCTTTCTGAAAATCAAAGCAAGCAACCAAAGCAATAATAAGAATGTGATTTTGTAATACTAACCGTATAAATTCCAAATAGGATACTCACCGCTACGAACCATGGCACACAACCACACCGCACTTGCGGATTGTGTTGGAGCTGATATTCATTGCTGCATAGATGATGTAGATACGCGTCGATGACTTCGCCTTTCATAGCTTCGTCAAACAGTAGTTCTAGAACGGCATCGGATGAGACGGACACGACACCCTGCTGCCATACAGTGTCCCTACAAGATGATAGCCTCAAACAGTTAAAAACATCAATTGAGAAAAATATATAAAGCTTTAATAGTGAATAGTAATACCGGACGGCGAATGACGCAAGAAATTGTTCAATTGTGTTCGTCTCATCCTCAGATAAGGCACCCTTCCCAAAATAGTTGTCGTTATTGCGATATTCCTCCCACTTTTGTGCTCCAAGGTCTGCTCCAACCGTAGCATCCGAGTCCCCATCGTCGCTGACGACAAGTGGTTCCTGAACCAATAACGAAGATAATCATGTTTCCGTAGGTATCTGTATTTATTGTAAAAGTATTGACTCAGAAACACTGGGTATTTAAGAATCTATCCGAAGTATTTTAAGCCAAACGACTGATATTTGTATCAAACTACGTACCTGCTCATTATTGACGTCGGCCGCTGACTTTCCTTTCGCCCTCCGTGATTTTCTGGCTCTTTTAATTTGCGGTGTGGACACAGGTGTCACGAATTCAGGCTTCTTCTTTTGCTTCCGATCCTTACGTACCATTACGCCACGTATGATCGATGAATTTACGGCCCTGCTGCAAGTCTCACCGTCGGACTCAACAACCGGCTACGATTTCAACAGAGCAAACAATTATTCAACAAATAGACAACTATGACCTACAAAATGTACTTACTATATTAATTAAATTACCTTGACATCTATCGGTGCAATATACGGAACAATGGCCATCAGTTGGTTAAACTCTTGCAGGCTACCAACCCCTTCATCATCCGAATCGTTTATCGGATCAATTTCGGACAAAAGGATATCCATTTTATTTTTGCTTCGTCTCTCGGTGTTCACTCGCTCTTCCGCTGCCTCGCCGGGATCCTCCTCAGTCTGACTCTCATTCTCCTCAATTTGTTTCTCCTCCTCCTGACCTTGACTCTCCTCCTCCTAAGTTTGCTTCTCCTCCCCCTGACCCTGTTTCTCTTCCCCGTCGGCCTGCTTCTCTTCCTCCTCAC